AATATAATATCGTGATCTTACTCGAAGAAAAAGAGCTAAGGAAAAAATATCTAAGTCAAGTTCAGCATGCTAAAACGGGGTGAAACTATCCAACAACGAAAAATCTAAGAAAACATAGAATGATGACTGCTTGAAAATTAAGGTAGTAGCATATTGTACCTGTTGTCATTGGTGTCTCCATTCCAGCAGCGCCAGCTGAAATGGAGACACCAAACAACCTTAACTTTTTACTCATGTTTGTAAGTAGTTTCAGAAGAAAAAAAGAGAAAAAAACTAAACGCACCATTGAAACAACAAAACTGAAGAAGGAGTACAACAACAGAGAAACACGGATCCTGCTTGTGGGCCCGTACCCCGTGAAGTGGTGCACTGCATGGCACCTCTGAGAAAATTAACCTATTGTTGATGCATAGTACCAGATAAAAAAACAACATACTTGGTCTCTGGCAATCTAACCGTTATCGCAAGTTTTTTGGGAATGTATCTCTCGGGTACTTTGTTGATTGGTTTGCTGATACGCAAAGTGAGATTCTTCTGAGAAAGTGCCACCAAATCATGTCTGGAATACACATCATGTAGACAATATACCACAAATGCCATAAACAGAATTCTCAATCACTGATAGTTGATAGAAAGCAAATAGTAGAGTCACCTGTACAGATAGGAGGTCCTGCCTTGCATGGCCATGAGTACATCATGATGTACATATAACCACGAGCATCGTCTATGATGGATCTGGAAACATCTTCTACTCAGACAAAATAAAAGTAAAAGATTTGCAATGATATTTGCACAAAAATACCTTATTCAAATCTCCATCATAAAGCTTATTTGTATCGACAGCATAGATTCCCTCCTCGCATCCGAGGAGCAGGAACTGTGCGCCTGTCCCCGGATGTATCCATGAACCAGCGCAGTTGATCCGCAAACTACATTCATGGACCATCTTCGTGAAACAAGCACCCATGACCACCTAGATAATTTCCAAATATACATTATCTGAAGATGAAATCATTTACCTTAGGTGTAACAGGCATTCCAAAGTATGTTTTCGGTCGATCAGCTTCCTCAGACGTAGCCGGTCGCATACGGACGGAATCATTGTGTTCCAATGAAGCGGATCTATGTGCGGCATTTTGCATTGCTCGCAGAGTTCGCGGTGCAGCTCTTGGAGCTAAAAGTGAGAATTATAGCTC